ACCTGGGGATCGAGTCGAAGCTCGATTCCAAGGACGAGCAAGATTTTTTGCTGGTGTGATCAAGAAGTGCCGTACTAACGGTCTGTATGACATCGAATATGATGACGGTGAAGTTGAGGTACGAGTTCGCCCCAAATACATCAAACCAGAGGAGGCCAAGAAACAGCATACGCTTCCGCCAAAAGAAGACGCTGTCGAAGTGTCTTGGGAAAAGGGACAGAGAGTAGAAGCTAAATTACGTGGGCATGCAGATTACGTGAAATGTATCGTGTTTCGTGCGCATGACGATGGTAGTTGCGACTTGGAAGCAGAAAATGGTGAGCTGCTCAAGCGCATACCGGGCGATAACCTTCGAAAGCGTGCTAGCTCGCCGGTGAAAAAGCCAATTCTCATGAGCGACGATGAACCGATCCGTCCAAAGCGACCCTTGGTAAAAAGAGCAAGTGAACTTTCCGCGAGTGACGATTCCTCTGCGCAACCCAACGTAAGATTTAAGCAAGGACAGACAATTGAAGCTAAGCGCAATGGTAAGGATTGCTACACTCCCGGTGTAGTCGCTCGATGCCGGCTCAATGGTTCCTACGACATTGACTTCGACGATGGTGAAAAGGTATTTGCAATACCTGCGGTTAACGTGCGCACGCTTGATTCAGCACCAAGATTCAAGAAAGAGACTACATCAAATACAAGAATTAAATCAAAAACAACTTTTAAGATAGGCCAGCCTATAGAGGCTCAGTACAAGGGCAAGAGCAAATTCTACCCGGGCGTGATCTCGCGCTGCCGTCTGAACGGCACGTACGACATCGACTACGACGACGGCGAGAAGGAAACGGGCGTGGCGGCCGAGCTGATCCGGCTGCTGGGCAAGAAGGGCGGCGGCGACAGCGACGACGACCCGAAGCAGAAGAAGTTCCGGGAGGGCGACAAGGTGGAGGCTCAGTACAAGGGCAAGAGCAAATTCTACCCGGGCGTGATCTCGCGCTGCCGTCTGAACGGCACGTACGACATCGACTACGACGACGGCGAGAAGGAAACGGGCGTGGCGGCCGAGCTGATCCGGCTGCTGGGCAAGAAGGGCGGCGGCGACAGCGACGACGACCCGAAGCAGAAGAAGTTCCGGGAGGGCGACAAGGTGGAGGCTCAGTACAAGGGCAAGAGCAAATTCTACCCGGGCGTGATCTCGCGCTGCCGTCTGAACGGCACGTACGACATCGACTACGACGACGGCGAGAAGGAAACGGGCGTGGCGGCCGAGCTGATCCGGCTGCTGGGCAAGAAGGGCGGCGGCGACAGCGACGACGACCCGAAGCAGAAGAAGTTCCGGGAGGGCGACAAGGTGGAGGCTCAGTACAAGGGCAAGAGCAAATTCTACCCGGGCGTGATCTCGCGCTGCCGTCTGAACGGCACGTACGACATCGACTACGACGACGGCGAGAAGGAAACGGGCGTGGCGGCCGAGCTGATCCGGCTGCTGGGCAAGAAGGGCGGCGGCGACAGCGACGACGACCCGAAGCAGAAGAAGTTCCGGGAGGGCGACAAGGTGGAGGCTCAGTACAAGGGCAAGAGCAAATTCTACCCCGGCGTGATCTCGCGCTGCCGTCTGAACGGCACGTACGACATCGACTACGACGACGGCGAGAAGGAAACGGGCGTGGCGGCCGAGCTGATCCGGCTGCTGGGCAAGAAGGGCGGCGGCGACAGCGACGACGACCCGAAGCAGAAGAAGTTCCGGGAGGGCGACAAGGTGGAGGCTCAGTACAAGGGCAAGAGCAAATTCTACCCGGGCGTGATCTCGCGCTGCCGCCTGAACGGCACGTACGACATCGACTACGACGACGGCGAGAAGGAAACGGGCGTGGCGGCCGAGCTGATCCGGCTGCTGGGCAAGAAGGGCGGCGGCGACAGCGACGACGACCCGAAGCAGAAGAAGTTCCGGGAGGGCGACAAGGTGGAGGCTCAGTACAAGGGCAAGAGAAAATTCTACCCGGGCGTGATCTCGCGCTGCCGTCTAAACGGCACGTACGACATCGACTACGATGACGGCGAGAAGGAAACGGGCGTGGCGGCCGAGCTGATCCGGCTGCTGGGGAAGAAGATCAGTGTTGAGAGAGAAGACGATTTCATACAGAAGTTTAATGGTATGGCGCCGAAACTTGACTCAAAAGGTGGATCAAAATTGTCGAATGGAGTACCAAGACAATTACATCGAGTTGGCTCTCGTGTTGAGGCTCTTTACATGGGGAGGGACAAGTACGTCAAGGGGACGATTTCTCGTGCTAATGCTGACGGAACTTATGCGATCGAGTACGACGATGGCGACAAGGAAAATAGAGTTACTGCCTCGTCGATTCGGCCCTTGAAATCTATATCTTCTTTCCGAGGCGACGACTTTGCCTTGGGTAAACCGGTTCGTCCAAGCCCGAGTGGTAGCTTTAGTAGGAGACGAAGCGGAAACATGTCGGACTAAAATGAAAGCGAACTGAAAAATTTCTGAAGTATCGTTTATCCAGGATGCACATTGTTCAAGTGATAGCTATTACTTCGAAGTATTCAGTATAGGAGTACAATAAATTCATTTCATAATCGATTACCTCTTAACTCTATTCGAGGTGACAGCACTTTCACTGTGGTTAACATCACCTTCGACCCCCCCGTTAGGAGTGTGCAGGCTCCGAGGCTCGTTCTCCCCGTTCCACC